TAAGGGATTGGCAGGTAGCCATGTTGGTTCTGTTAGTGAATCCAAGACTACAGTGAAGGATCTCTTTCTTGCTGGACTTGGACTGGGTGCATGTACACTTGAACTTGTTGGGAACTGTCTTGCTATCACATGAAGTCTGAATTTTAAGCTAACATGGAGGAGAGCTGAGCCTTTCTTTTTTTCTAAGAAGGCTCTCTTTTTTTAATTAACCTTCTTATTTTGTATTGGATTATAGCTGATTAACAATGCCGTGATAGTTTTAGGTGAACAGCAAAGGGACTCAGCCATACATATGCATGTATCCCTTCTCCCCTAGGTAGGTAAAGAATCCAGCTGCCAATACAAAAGCTTCAGGAGACACAATTTCAATCCCTGGGACAGGAAGATTCCCCTGGAGGAGGAAATGGCAACCTACTCCAGTATTCTTGTTGAGATAATCCCATGGACAGAACGTCCTGGCAGGCTACAGCTTCCACATAACATTGAGCAAAGTAGGTCCTTGTTGGTTATCCATTTTAAATATAGCAGTGTGTACATGTCGACCCCAAACTTCCTAACTATCCCTCCCCCTCATCCTTCCCAGTCAACTGTAAGTTCCTTGTCTAGGTCTGTGAGTTTGTTTCTGTTTTTTAAACAAATTGATTTGTGTCATATCTTTTTAGGTTCTGCATATAAGGTATATCATACAATGTTTCTGCTTATCTGACTTACTTGACTCAGACTGACAATCTTGGGTTCATCCATACTGCTGCAAATGACATTATTTCATTCTTTTTAATGGCTGTATAATATTCCATTGTGTTTATGTACACCATCTTCTTTATCCACTCTTCTGTCAATGGACATTTAGGTTGCTTCCATGTCTTGGCTATTATAAACAGTGCTTCAATGAACACTGGGGTGCATGTATCTGTTTCAGCCATGTTTTTCTCTGGATATGTGCCCAGGAGTGGGATTACAGGGTCATATGGTAGCCCTACCTTTAGTTTTTTAAGGAGCCTCCACACTGTTCTCCATAGTGGCTTTACCAATTTACATTCCCACCAACAGTGTAAGAGGGTTATCTTCTCTCCACACCCTCTCCAGGATTTCTTGTTTGTGGGTTTTTGATGATAGCCATTCTGACTGGTGTGAGATGATACCTCATTGTAGTTTTGATTTGCATTTCTCAGGAATAATTAGCATGTTCCAATAATTGGCAGTGTTTAACACCTTTTCATGTGCCCCTTGGCCATCTGTATGTCTTCTTTGGAGAAATGTCTGTTTCGGTCTTCTGCCCGTTTTTGGATCGGGTTGGGTTTTGATGCTGTTAAACATCATGAGCTGTTTGTAGGTTTTTTTCTTTCTGTCAGTTACATCGTTTGCAAATATTTTCTCCCAGTCTGGGGTCTTTTTTCATTTTGTTTCCTTTGCTGTGCACAAGCTTTTAAGTAGGTCGCATAAGAAGGCTCTCTTTTATTTAACTGACCTGATATGGGCTTGGTGGCACAATAGACTGAAAATCACAATTCTACCCTTATTTTCATAGGAGAGCTACAAGTGCCCAAGTTAAATATTTGTAAGAAAATGGATGCTTTATGATAACAACAGCAAACTCTACATTCCAATAATTTACTATATGAGCATTATAAAATGTCTGTGATATGGCATTGTGAAGTGTGCAAGAGAAAATAGATCTTTTCTCCAGAAATGTATAATGTGTTTAAACAAGACCAAAATTAAAAAACAAAACTGTGAATAGCAGATAGTAATGCATATAAGTGAACAGAACATAGTAATGTATATAAATATTCTGAATGGTAATACAAAGTAACTGATAACTACCTACAAACAAAACTAGCCTAGAACAACAGCATGAGTCATGGGCTTTAGGCTCAACTGAGTATTTCCATTTAATTCTCTAGGCACTGATCTTTATATCTTTGTCTTAATGTTTACTGTGAATTACTGATTGTATATTCAGTTGCTTATTTGATATCTCCACTTAGATGTCCAACAGGCATTGCAAACTCACCTTGTCCAAAAAGTCTTCTCCTCCAAATCTGTTTGAATAGACTGCTTTCCAGATTTCAGGAGATAGCAACCCCATCCTTCCAGTGGCTCAGGTCTAAAACCTTAAGCATTATCTTTTTTTCTCACATCTGGAATCCATTATATAAGCAAAATTTATTGGCTCTATCTTCAAAATTTATTTGGAATCTAACCATATCTTTCTGTCTCCACTCCTGTGTGAATTATTGTAGTATGGGTCTTCCTGATCTCACCCTCCCTGCCCCCCCCCCACCAAAGTCTGTTTACAGTCCAGCAGAGCAAAGTCTTCTCATTTTATTGAGAAAAATTTAAAACACAGCAAAGTTGAAAGATTTTACAGTGACCCATCTGTATACTGGCTTCCTAGAATCTACCATGAACAGAACAGTCCTTTTAAAAATGACAGGTCGTGCAGCTCCTCTGGTCAAAATTCCTCAACAGCTCATCTCATTCAATGAAGAAAAGCAAATTTCATACCATGGTCTACAAGACCCAGCACCCTCTGGCCCCTGCTACCAATCTTCCCTCTTGTCCATTACTCTTCAGCCACACTGGCCTCCTCTTTGTTCCTCAAACACTCTAAGTACATTCTTTGCATTTGCTGTCCCTTGCTTGGGAGGCTTTCCCTGCCATGACTCTGCATGGCTTGCCTCTTTGGGTCACCTCATTTGGACTTCTCTGACTCTTCCAAGTGTTAGGTTGAATGATGTAATTCTAATGTCATTCTACTCAGCTGTGCCACATAAACCAAATATCCTGAAGTTAAAAGAGAAAAAAAGATGCAGAGAGAGCAGTAATTTCATATGGTTCAAACTAATAAAACAACTAGACCCTAACCCTCTTATTCTTACCTGGGTTCCAATATTCTTTTTTAAAGATAATATTTATCTGGCTGCACCAGGTCTTAGCTGCAGCATGTAAAGTCATAGGTGTTGCACGTGAGACCGAGTTCCCTGACCAGGGATCGAACCTGGGGTCCCTGCCCTGGAAGCATGGAGTCTTAGCCACTGGACTGCCAGGGAAGTCCCTGGGTTCCAATATTCTTGAGAGCACTTCTCACCATCTTATGTATGATTTATGTATTGTCTATGAGATCCTCAAAATCAGGGAGTCTGCATTTGTCCACTTCTGTGGACTCAGGACACAGACCAGTACTTGGACTGTAGTGTGCACCGAGGACATATTTATTTAAGGAATGAATTCTTTACACTGAAGTCAAGGTAATCATTAAAAATACAAAGTCTGATCATGTCATTCTTACTACATTACATGCATTACTTTCAAAATGAAGATAAGAATCCTTAGGAAGACTGTAGGTCCCTGCATGGGGCCCCTTCGTTCTCTAGACTCATCTTGCATCATCTCCCTCATTTCTTTTTAGTCCCTGGGACTCTGCTTGTCCCATTGTGAGGTCTTTGTGGTCTTCCTTGCTCTTCCCCAACTTCTGCACTGAGTTCACTCTGAGGTGGTTTTAAATCTTGGCTTATAGCATCTCTTATTAGAAGTCATTTCTGATACCTCAGGTTAGACTGAATTCCACTTTAATGCCCTTGATTCTGGTGGTGAAAAGCTAGAAGAAGGACCTCAGCTCTTGTTTCCTTTGATGAAAGAAAATAGACCAAGATGGTGAAAAAGACAGAAGCACTTATTAGAAACACAGCACGTGTGGAAGAAACAAAGTATGTGTGGAAAAAGCAAAATAGTATAGAGGGAGCACACAGGTGAGCTTGGAGTGAGTTGCCCCCAACAGGGTCGGCTTAGATTGTTAACATAGGGACAGTTTTCTGGGGCGGGGTGGGGGCGGGGGGGTCATCTCACCTGGTCCTGGTGTGGGCCCACATTTCTCAGCTAAGGTGGATTCTAGCTGGTGACTTCTGCCTGCTTAGACTGAGGGCCTTCTCTGTGCGTGTGTCAGACTGAGAAACCCGTGAGAAAGCACCCCGTCAGGGCTCGGTGCTCCTGTTGGTGCCACATCTCGAAGCATCAGCAAGAGACCAGCTGCAGCTTCTCAGTCTGGGGTGAGCTACCTCCTCCCACCCTCAGGCACCACATACCTACCCTTAGTAACACCTATTAGGATTATAGAGTGAATTTTGTGTGATTATCTCCTTTACCAGACAGTAAGTTTCACGAGAGAAGGAAAGACAGCTTTCTTTTTACTCCTCTTTGAATCCGTAGCATCTGGGAAGTATTTGGCACATAAGAAGAGCTTAATACTTATTTTAAAAATAGACCTTGTTGTGTTCCTGTGTTACCAGGGCAAAATTGGGTGCCTGGTATACTATAGGCAAATAAGTTTGCTAAAAGAGCCCTAACATGAAGGATGTTTGATTACTCATTTACAGAGCATACAATGCAGAAGAGCCATCACTTGATTATCGTGATAAGGCATTTATACATAACTGATACCTACAAGAAACTCCCTGATGCTGGGAAAGATTGAAGGCAAAAGGAGAAGGGGGCAAAAGAGGATGAGATGGTTAGATAGCTTCACTGATTTAATGGACATAAATCTGAGCAAACTCTGGGAGATGGTGAAGGACAAGGAAGCCTGGCGTGCTGCAGTCCATGGGGTCCTAGAGTCGAACACAACCTAATAACCAAACAACACAGAAACTCCAAATTCTTCCCTCTCATCAACCTTTCCTACATCACTGAGACTGAAGAAAGGAAATTACACTTCTCTTTCCTCTATCTGCTGTCTGGTAGAGGAAAGGATGAACTGCTCTTGCTAGGAGAATCCAGATGGAGTCAGAATTAGCTGTGAGATATGGCTTCCAAACCAACAGATCATAACGTTCTCATGTGGATAATTAGATGTTTACAAACTTTTTTCCCTTTTCTGTCAAATGAGAACTTCTGCATTCCTTAATAAAAAATCTCTTTGCAAATATTTCAGTGGTCAGAGGATATATATTAAAACACACATTTGCAAGTTGTATAAATTTATAGGTTTATTAGGGCAGGAAGATATGGTACAATATAAGCAGAAAAAGCAAAAATCTTACAAATAAATCACATTTAAGTGTGTTGACTCACAAATTTTTTTAGTAAACTTGTAATTCTAGACAAGCACTGTGGCAAGTTTATTAATATTATCATTTGCTAATTTAGGGAAGGGAAAAGAGCCAAATATACCAGAAATGAATTGTTGCAAAATGGTAAATTTTTAATATGATGAAACACAAAAAGAAACTAATAATCAAAAGACAATGAAATGTCAATTTCTTAGTTTTAATAATGTTTTATAGATATATAAGATGCTGCCAATTGGGGAAACTGGATAAAGAGTAAACAGGACTTTTCTGTATTATTTTTGTAACTTCTTGTGAGTCTATAACTCCCCTCCTCACCAAAAAAAGGAAAGCAGTAAAAAGTAGTAAATCTAGATAAGAAAGTATTTTTAGAAACAGAACTTAAAGCATATACCCGTAAGCAAAGACAGTTGCTTTGCTAGGTTTCCACAGGTTTGTAAGGAGTTAACAAAAAATTTAAAAATGCTTCCAAAGTGTGCTTACATATACACACTTTACTAATAAAAAGATTGGGCTCTGGAAAGTAGCGTCCTATTTTTAATGTTTGAACTAATGTTTTCCAGAGAGTTGCATAGAGTGAAACATAGCATTGTTTGCGAAAGACAATTTTCTGAAAACCGCAAAAATGAGTGTCTGCTCTTGAGAAAGGAAAACTTTTATTTCTTGACATCATCAAAGAAAAATGTGAAGGATTTTATATGAAATGAACAAAAATGTACAAATCCTACCACCTCATTGCTCAAAAAAATTTTCTCCTTCATCTATTAATATGTCCCTAAAGAAGCTAGCTCACACAGACCTGGGGGCATTCACATGTCAGAATATTCCATAAAGATCTGGGAACACATATTTTTGGTGGGAAGAATGCGCAGGGAAAGACTGCTTGTGAAACAGTTCAGAGTGATGCATTTAGTAAGGATCCCCTTGCAATAACAAAATGTTAGCATCAGAACATTCTTGGGAGCCTTCAAAAGACACATGACATCAGGAACTCTTAAAACAAGTGAAATTTTTTTGGGGGGGTAACAGATGGCAAATATTCTACTGTGCGAGAACTAAAAACACAGAGAATTTCCAAAATTGCCTTATGGCACTCTACCTTAAAGTATACTTTCCTAATAAAATTACTAGAGCAACATAGACATTTGCTTGGCTGGATGCTTCATTTATATTTTCCTCTTAAACATTAAAATTACAGCAATGCGGCATAAAATAAAAGGAGAACTAGGGCCAGAAAGACGAGAGTTTCAAATTCAGTTTCAAATTTCAGACTCTCTCAGCTACTAGTTTTGTTACCTTAGACAAATCATTATTTCTCTGAATCTCAATGACTTTGTTACTAAAATGGGTATAACAATCCCCATATCTCAAGGTTGGTCCTAGAATTGAAAGGGATCATATATTTAAGAGTTTAGTAGAATGTTGTGCAAATACTGTGTGAGCTCCCTCCCACTTTTCCCAGAAGACACAGCAAGGCCTTTCTTTCTCTGTTTGGTATGAGGTGAAACATGTGGCTAAGGAGTAAAATTTTTAAAAGCAAGAGAATCTAATCCTAAATACACACACACACACACACACACATTTATTTGTAGTTATTTATTTGGCTGCACCAGGTCGTAGCTGTGGCTGGAAGGATCTTTTTCCTTGTTGTCGGTGATATGCCCCATCTTTTAGTTGTGGCATGTGGGATCTATTAATAGTTCCCCAACCATGGATCTGAACCCCAGACCCCCTGCGTTGGGAGCACAGAGTCTTAACCACTGGACCACCACGGAAGTCCCTTCCAATCCTAATATCATTCCAGTCTTTCCATTAATTATGCAGTCACATAAACTAATACTTAATAAACATTATTGGTATTATTCGGGAACCTGAATAGGTTGTCTCTTGCAAGTCTGCTTTTTAGTTTATCTTTGAGCAAAACACGTCATTAATCCTTTTTTTCAGATCGTAACAGTGTGATCTTTTGGGGATATTAAGCACCTCTTGATCCCAGGTAAAAACAAGTTTCAATATTTGTTCACAGGTCTTGAGAAAAACAGCGACATGGAAAGAGAAAGAGCGCGAGGTTGGAGACTGCCTTTCCAAGGCTGATGGTATTATAATCCTCCGGCCATGGAGCCACCTGTTGGTGTCTCTCTGCCCGGAGACCACAGTTCCGTAAGCCACGCCTCCCTCGCAGTGCCGCACTCCCGCCCTCATGAACTCGAAAAGGTGAGCAAGCCTTCTGAAATCGCGGGTGTGGGCAGCAGACAAACAGCCCTTAGAAGGCATTCGAGCCAGGTTCTTAACATGGAATCATGGGCTTATCCAGAGGGTCCTAGAACCTACTACTGTCCCGGATGCAAAGTTGTGTTGAAGTGTTTTCTTCCTTCTGCTCAGAATGCTGCTCAACTGCCACTTCCCTCTGGAGGTCTTCTCCTGCCAGAGGTCTCCCCTACAGGATCTCTCATCACCTTTTTGTATCTCCTGCGGAGCCTCACCGCAATCTGTCATTGCCTTATCTGCTTAAATCCGTCCACCCCACTAGAAGATCAGTTTCCCAAAGAGCAGGCCCTCTGGTCTTTCTCCAGGGCCCTGAGGCTGGTGGATCTCGACAGAGACTCTTGGAGTGAATGACAGGTCCGAGTCCATCAGATATTGAAAGGACTCTGTATTCCCCCCCCCCAGCCCCGCCCCCAGCACTCTTCACCGGAAATCATTCGCAAATCATTCATTTGGAAATAAGGCTTCCAGCGTTTCGACCGCACCCACCCACCTATGTTCCAACGGTTTGAACTGCCGCCCCAGCCCACTCACCCAAGCCCTCTAGGCTGGACAGTTTAGAGGTGACCGACGCAAGGGTAGCCTCCAACGGGCACGCGCATCAGTTCACATTCCCGACCACCGTCCTGGGGGCGGAGGAGCGGGGTGGGCCACGCGGGCCTGGAGGAGCCGCCTCAGGAGGCCGCCCGAACCTCCACCGTACTCGGGGTCCAGAGTCTCTTCTCCGGCGGCGCGCGGCCGGCCGCGGGGGGTCAAGCCCGTCGCGCAGCGCGCGCCGCCGCGACCACAAGTACTTCCGGGTGAGTGGGTCGCCGACCCTGTGGCCCCGCCCCTCCTCCGCCTCCGCCGCCCGCCGCTCGGGCTGCGGCTCCTCCCGGGGGCCGGTTCCCGCTGTCTCAGCCGCGGCGCCGAGGGGACACCGGCGTGACTGACTGACCGGCCGTCGGCGCCGGTAGCCGCCGCGTCCTGCCCGGCCCGCCTGGCCGGGGACCTAGGACCGAGTCCACCTTCCGCACCCCTCGCCCTTCGCTCCGGCAGGCTCCCGGCCGGCGAGCCGCGCTCCGGCCCTTCCCGGCGGCGCCCGCAGCCCCAGCCCGCGCTCGGACATAGGTAAGGGCCGCTCCTCCCACCGGCCTTGGCGGGGAACGGGGCTCCCGCTTCCCGGCCTCTGCAGCTCGGCGAGGTCCGCGCTGCCGCCGACCCCTGCTGGGGGCCAGGCCCCTCTCCGGCGGGCCCCGGGGTCGAGGTCGCCCCCTGCCTGCGGCGTCCTCGGGCATCTAGCCGGGTCTCGAACGCGCACCCTCGGTCCGCGAGCGGGGACAGCGATACTCCCATTGTGGGAGAAATGAACTCGGGCCGCTGTCCCTGCGCTTTAGGTGCTCAGGGCTCCTCCTCCCTCTCCCCGACCCACCACTCCCTCGGTCTGTCCCCGGCCGGCCACCCGGGGAAAGGTGTCAGGCCGGTGGAGGGCGTGGAGCTTGTATGGGATTTTTTTTTTTTTCCCTTCCTCCTTGACCCGAACTGAATGAAGCCCGAGCTAGGAGTGTCAGGGTTAATGCTTGACTATTGCCAGGTGTTATTCACACCCAGATTGTTAAGTTATGTAGCTCCAGCCGGGCCTGCTTCTCGTGTCCGTGGGTATGTTGCTGGAAGCCAGAGGACCTAAGGAAACCCATCTCTTTTTCTTCGACGGGGAGGGGAAAAAAGTTCAAGTGTTTGCTTTCCTTTTTCCACCGTGGGATATACAAATATAAGGCTGTGGAGACCTGGCCAGGGAAATAATGGGATCCTAAACTTCAACTGCTTGTAGCTCTTTTTCTTTGAGTTTCCATTTAATGACTCAGCACTTCTGCCCTTAAAAAGAAAAAGTGTAATGTAGGTTCATTGATTAAAGGTTGAATGTGAGGATAACAGTGTCCATTACTTTTCCATGGCATCACAACAGGAGGAGAATGGGGATGCAGTAGTGGAACCGGAGAGATGGAGGGCAGGGTGTGGATGAATCAGTTCTTAATTAGTGTTTAAAATAAGTGTTTCAAGATTAAATGTTTATTTTGGGGATGCATCTGTTTGGAGAGGTGCAATTGTTGGAAAAGGCGAAGTGTTGCAGATAAGTGTTGCTTGGCAGGGACTTGAGGTTCGCTGTGGTTTGAAGGTCTTACAGAATTAACTCAGTTTAACCAACTTAATGCTGTGTTCAACACATGTAGAGATGATGACCCAGTATTATACTCATGTAGAATAAGAATTTCAGAAAGTGTGATTCATTGAGGAAGTTAGATCACTCTCTGTGTGAATGAATCATTGATAGGGTTCTTAAACTTGGAATAGAGGAAAGTTTGAGGTTTGTTACTGCCTGTTTAATTAGATACTGCCACTCCTAGGAAGTGTTGCATTGATGCTTTGTTAGGTTTGTTGCTGCTAATAATTGTCATGTAGTATGGTAGAGAAACAAATAGTGGACTTTTGCAGAAGCTTTGGATTTAAAATAGTTTGTTAGTTCGTAAGTGAATTGTTGTGATTTTACCCACTCCAGAAAGATAAATGTCTAGAAACAAATTAAATGTCAGTGAAAAGGACAGCTACCATCATTAAGGTAGGAAGAAGTTCACTCAAAGAATCTGCAGTACAGAGAGAACAAGCAGTCATTTGAGGGAAAGACCTTACCCATTTGGGAAAACCTGCCCTTAAAAAGGTGAAATGAGACTTTATACGTGCTCATTTGTGTCCAACTCTTTGCGACCCAACGGACTTTAGTCCTCCAGACTCCAGATTCCAACCCGTGGAATTCTCCAGACAAGAATACTGGAGTGGGTTGCCATTTCCTCCCCCAGGGGATCTTCTGACTCAGGGATCTCACCTGCGTCTGCTGCACTGGTGGGCGGATTCTTTACCACTGAGACACCTGGGAAGAACATACAGAGCTCCTGTTTAAGTTCTGTCGTAGAAGAAAGTGTGTATTAAAGTAGTGATTCATTATGGGGATGAATTCATTTTAAATTAGAAATAACTTTTTATTACTGGAATGTAATTTGATCATTTTTGGCTTTTAAAGTGTTGCTAAGCAAAATGACTTTGAATCACAGAGTTCTTGATACTCTTAGCCTCGATTTCTTCTTTTTGGAAATCAGCTTATTTTATGTTGATTTATAAAGAACTTTATAGTTACTTATCAATTATTAAGTAATGGTAAATTTGCCCTGTTGATCTTGCTTAGTAAATTCTTTTAATTCTTGGACTAAATTTTGGCATTTTATTCCCTTGGATATCCATTATATTCAGAGCGTTCCCTAATATTGCTTTTTATTTTTGTCCAACTAATAGTGACTTAAGAGTTTCAGTTTCTAATTGAACAGAGATTCCCTTTTGGAAAATCCCTTGTGGAAACCACCCGAACTGACAGTCCTGATGGTAGCTTTATAAGAGAATCCTTCTTAGGTCAGGATTTAAGCATCTCCACAATGAAGGGAAAAACTGATTCGGAGAATATGTTTGGCAAAGTAGATTCTTTTTCTCTCAAAACAAAAACAGGTCTTTACTAGAAGCGAGAAGGAGCAGTTTCTTGCAAAGCTCTTTGTGAATTGTTTACCCTGCTCCTAGTGTGAAGAGGAACAGAATCGATGATATATGGGGGGAAAAAAAAATCTCCCTGTAGCATTTTGGGAATGTTGATGAGGATCATTTTAGAGGAAACACATTCTGTCCTCACCACAGCCTCACTTTCCATCGTACCTACAAATAGGCCATTGCATAGACCTTTGCCTTTGCTTTCTCCCTGGAGAATATGAATGGAAAGATGGTCTTTTAACCTTATTCAGTTAGAAACACAGTAAAGTTTATGACCATCATTCAGAACTCAACTTTTAAAACTTCTGACAGAAGGGTTGAGCAAAATTTACCCTGTGAGTAAAATAACTTTGCCCTTCTCTCCACTTTTTCCCTTTAAGATAATAGATAGGATACCATTAGAAATGATTTGTGTTGCACATTGTGCTTTCACTTTAAAAACTTTCTGGCCTTCAATAAATTAAGGCAGACTTAAAAGGAATCCAACACTGGGCTAAAAACTGGGTTTATTGTATGCTAATGCTTTTTCCTTTGTTCTGTTACATCTTTATTTTGATTGGGGGATGGAGAAAGGGATTCTGTTTCTTGTGGAAGCTCTGAGATTTGCTCCATATGTGTGCTGTTGTTTTAGTCTAGAGATGGGAAGAGCAGTAGATAAGAAGAGTACAGGTGATTAAGAAGAGGTGGAGAAATGGCATCCATAGGAGTGTGCTCACCTCCTGGCTTCAGTAGTTGTTTGTAGAACTTTTTAAAATTGATAAAACATTGAAAAAAAAAAAAAGTCCCCTGGTGAAAAGGAAGTTTCCTCTCCACGATAAACTTCTAGGCTTGACTCCCTCTGCCACCCAACTCCATAATCCAAGCAGTGGTTTCCGGTTAATGGTTTCCCATGTGTCTCTCCAAAATTTCTCTTCCATATATAATCTCCTGTGTTTAGAAAAAAATGCCCTGTCCCTTTCATTCTGACCTTTGATATGTCTTAGAGATCATTCTATATTAGCACATATGTCCAGCTATTTTTCAAAAAAGACCAGCTGACCTGTCTAATATAGATGAAACAAAACTTGCTCATTTCCCACAGTTTAACATTCTGTGTTCAAGACATTTGGCTTCGCTGGTGGCTCAGCAGTAAAGAATCTGCCTGTCAATGCGGGAGATGCAGATTTCCATCCCTGGGTCAGTAAGATCCACTGGAGGAAGAAATGGCAACTCACTCCAGTATTCTTGCCTGGGAAATCCCATGGACAGAGAGCCTGGTGGGCTGGAGTCTGTGGGGTCATAAAAGAGTCGGACACGAGTTAGTGACTAAACTACAACAACAAGGCTGTTTTTAGCTTTCTGCTAACACTGCTGTAATGAACAACTCATATATAAGCCTTTGC